AGTAAATATAATAACAATAATCAACAACAAATAATTAATGAATAAATACAAAATACCTGAAGTAATCAATAATAAATAATTAGTTAAAGTCAATAAAGGACATTACACAGTAGCTACAAATAACTACAAATAACTCAATAACCGTTTGGATAATTTATAACCATTGCCACCTACTCAATAACCATTAGGATAATAAAATAAACCGGAAATACATGACCTTGCTAGCTATAATGCCTGATTGATCAGCATATATAGACAGTCGAATCACACACAACAACACACACACACACACACAAACACACACACACACACACACACACACACACACACACATATATATATATATATATATATATATATATATATATATATATATATATATATATATATGATTTTCGTTTCATTTCATTTTTGGTAGTGCTATCTGATGATCCGGCGTTCTTTAAAAGGACTCTGGTAAAATAAATTATTATAATGGTACCTTAAAAGTAGTCTGATTTTCTTTTATATATATATATATATATATATATATATATATATATATATATATATATATATATATATATATATATCACTTTTTAATACTACTGCACGTGCGAAAAATGCACGTCCGAAACATTAAATAAAAATAAAATTAGAAATTAAAATAAAAGTAAAAATAACATGTAGGGGCCTTAAATTTAAAAACCAGGAGGTTTAAAAAAATAATGAACACAATGAACATTATATTTTCAAAAATAAATAATCAAATGCAACGATCATTAATTAAAAAAATAAAAAAATAAAGCGGTCCTTTGATAAAAATCGATTCAGGATACCGTAAGTTTTTAACCAAGGTAGCAGATTGAACTGATCTCCTGATTTTTAAAGTATATATATATATATATATATATATATATAATTATTTATTTAAAAATATGATTCCCACACGCTACATAAGAGTTCCCATGTTTAAAAAAAGAACCGAAAACTTCAATATAAGTTTTTGGCTCTTGTTTTTTAAATAAATTATTATATTTATGCTCTACTTTTGTATCGAGCACTATTTTTAAAAATAATAACAAAAATACTAAAGAACTTTGGATTATTTACCTAACGAGTTCTTTCCTATTTTCTATATATTTTTCACACACACACACACACACACACACACACACATATATATATATATTATTTCAGCTATGTATAATTTCAGATATAATTAAAAGTATTATATGTTTATTCATTCATTCATATATATATATATATATATATATATATATATATATATATATATATATATATATATATTTATGAATTGACACTGAAATCAACGCCAAGCGGTGGCAGTCTGTTTTTTTCTTCAAAGCAATCTTCAGGCCATGTGTGTTGTGTTTTGGCTCATTATTTCTATATGCTTGTCAGTGGTGCATTGTGGTTAGGAATAGCTGTTGCATTATACTAACGCTTGCTGAGTCTGCGCTAACGATTATATTTCAAATTATTCTAGATTATTGAGTGGAAATAATAATGAACCCGAATACGCTTATTTGTAACTATTGTCTAGTGTTGTTTGCTAACTATATTTTTTATACTCATTATTCGTTACTGATAAATTTATTATTTCCACATCCTTCATCTCTGATACTAGACACTTTCACCTACAAATATAACATATCTTTAAATCTACATTTTATCATATATATATATATATATATATATATATATATATATATATATATATATATAATTATTTTATAAAAAAATTATAACATAAGTATGTTATTAAATCACTACAAAATAGCCATTTTGTTTCAACACACTCTGCGTCTTATCAAGTGATGATGTTGAAAATAAAATAAATGGTTTTAAAAAGTTTCAGATTAATTAACGATCCTACACTAGGGGGGAAACATTGTTACAAAAGCTAGAATAACCAATCAAAAACGAAGTATAGAAAGATTCAAAAGCTTGACAACGAAATCCTGCTCTAATAGCTATTCAGATGTTTAAATATGTGTAATATTAAAAATAATTTATACTAACTAATAATTATAAATTTACATGATAAAATTTAATATTAAAATTAAAAACTGGCAATTTTTAAAATCCAAATTTAATCACTATTAAGTTTAAAAACTACAAAATTATTGAGAAAAGAAAAAATATATATGTTTATTCAATTCATTTCTTCACTGAAATTACGTTCGACAAGACAAGACGCTACAATACATCCGGTCATTTGATAATACATGTATATATATTTTTTTCTTTTTCCCTTTCTTTTCCGTTTTTATTTTAAAGTTTGTGAATATGGTCTTAAACTCACGCGTGACACAACAAAAACGCAATCAGATTATAATACATAAGCATTCAGACATAATTAGATACACACACACTAAAAAAAGAAAAAAAAAGGAGATTATATATATATATATATATATATATATATATATATATATATATATATATTCTCGAATTCACCCTCGCCTGGTCATGTGTGATGTCATGAGCTGCGTTGCGATTTTCGCTTCCAACGTCTTATATGTACATGTTTATCGTTTCTTGCAAATCATCCATGTAAACAGAAACAGACTATCATCACTTTCTTGTCCGTGTATTGCTTAATATATTGTACAGTAATTGTCATTTTGATAATGGCTTATGTAATCCGAAAGCTTAGATTGGATTAAAAAATATGTATCAATATTGTGATTTTCTTTCTTTGTTTAATGATAATGTTAGTAAGCTTATCAGACGTTATGAAAATAATTTACATAAAATAAATAGACAACACTTGTCTATATTATTTAATGAAACATGTATGAACACACACACACACACACACACACACACACATATATATATATATATATGATAAAAAGAAGAACAAATAAGAAACGTATATCAATCTAACATGTTTCACTTTTATTAAAGCTTCGTCAGAGAGAAAACAGACAAAAGAGAGAAACACTGGTATTTTTAATTATGTTTGGGTCAGTTCTCATTGGTCAAACACGTGTCACGTGCATTTAAACCGTAGACATTTCTATGTGTATGTAGGTTTGTGAAGATTCTTTTATGTCTAAGTGGGCATAGGATGGTAATGTCTTTTCGTAAATGTGTATGCGTGTCTGTCAAGTTGGAGTTACCTTCACCTTTGTGCAGTGTTCTCATTAAGCATGTATTCTTTGTATAAGATAGATATAATATTAGATTAGATAATATCAGATCCGTAAGTGGTAAGGATAATTCAATTAGGTCTTTTTAATATAACATATTAAAAAGATAGATCCATGAAGAACGCTGGCAGCAGGCCGGGATGGCTTGATAATCACATTAACTAGGCAAACAAAAAGAGATCAGCTTAATCAGGGGTGCGGTCTGGCAGTCATCTTCCCCGCCGTTGTGACTTTAGGAGACATAAAGATGGAAATCAAGATTCAGGCAAACCAGGCTTGCAACTCGTACCCAACTTTTGTAGAAATCTATCGAAGACAAATGTTTTCTTTTATTTCTGGTCTTCATTTTGATCTGATACTCAAAGAATTCAATTAAATCCACATGAGAATAGTGTTCGTCTCGTAAGATTTCCTTCGTTCGCGTTACCCACACCACCATTCTTGCCATGGCTAAAAAGCGTGAGAAACACAAATCGTCTCCTCCCGTACAACAGGGTGGAGGTGACATATTATGGTCTACCTACGCGAGTTACATGTTGGCTTTCAGTTTAGCAGATCTACTGTGTACTAGTCGCCAAATCATACATAGCCACAGATTCTTAAAGTCGAGCAAGTAAACAGGAGGAATGGTAAGGTGGTTCTACATAGACACCGTGAAGGATATTCTTTGTGATTCACACCAACGTCATTTTGTCTTTGATGATCCTGGATGCTACACTGAAGAGTGCCATAGCCATTGTCACCGGCCATATCGAAGTGCTAGACATGCTGGGCGTTTTCATCACAGATTAGCCACACGATCCAAAGAGAACTGGCCGAGAATTTGCATTATTAATTATTGTAGCTCTATTTTTTAAACTGTCTTCTTACATTTGTATAACACTAGCAGCATGACCCGGCGTTGCCCGTTCTTGATTCAAAAATCGCACGACTCATACAGCAATCGCTGTCACTTGACTTAAAAATATTTTTGCCCTTCCTTGCCTTTAAAGGAATGCCCTTTGCCGTGCTGATGTTGCTACATGCCTTACTTCTTGCCTATCCCACACTGCGAATTTTTTCTAAGCTCTATACTAAACATTAAATCTGTTACAAAAGAGAACTAAACAAAATGAACACAAAACGATCATGTTTACAAAAGGACTCGTAACTGGAAAAACCGAATGAAAAACAAAAAACAAATACTTTTTCACACCCAACCCAGTTCTGCGGAATCAGAATCAACGTTGAGTTTAAGCAAGCGAATGAGCCAAATGGAGTAAAGTGCCATGCCGATTTAAATTTTTCCCACTTGTGACGAATGCAGCTATCGAATTTTTTTGCGTGCTAGCATGCTAGTTAACATTCGTGTCAGTCTGCTGTTGGCTCTCACGTTGGCCAGTAGAATCTTTCTGCCTATTCGTGGCAGCCAGCAATAGGCTCTCATTCTTGCCAGTACAAAATGGCCGTAAACTACGTGGAAACTGCCGTAGAAGCATGAAAAATCGATTATTTACACTATCAATGGGAGTTGGGAAATGCAAAGTCGGTCTTGACCTTTCTACTAACTTAGAGCATATGTATGAAAATTTTGGTGCAAATCCGTCGAAAATTGCGGCCGTGCATTCGTTACACACACACACACACACACACACACACACACACACACACACACACACACACACACACACACATCCTGCCTTTTATAGATAGAGATACATCATTCAGTAAACCTCTACTTTGAGTGGCTCTCAGTGTTGTACTGCGTGAATGTTCTTCCTTAAATATAAGAATCAATAAATCCCTTTCTTGGTTATCAATTAGAGATTGATCAGTTGGATGTGTGCATATGGCAGTTCAATGCTTCGTATTTCGGGTTGTCCCAATTCAAAATGCATTCGGTTCAATAGAATTGACGAGACATTTCGAATAATTTTCGAAGTAAGATTTTGGCTGCAAGTACTTCTCGTTCAGTTCATCATAATGTTTGTTCATATTTATTGGAATTGTAAAGAATATCGATTAATAATGAAATGGGTATAAATCGATTATTAATCAGCTTCTCAATAATCTTCTGTGTAGTCTTGGATTCCATTTTGATATCTATTCGAAAATAATCATCTGTCTTTCAGGTTATACCACTTCATATCTATCACTTTTTTCTTTATCTTTCTGTCTTCCTTCATCTCTTCATATCTATCTATCTATCTATCTATCTATCTATCCATCTATCCATCCATCTATCTCAGTTTATCTCATCCATCTATCTATCTATCTATCTATCTATCTATCTATCTATCTATCTATCTATCTATCTATCTATCTATCTATCTCAGTCTATTCATATCTATCTATCTATCTATCTATCTCAGTTTATTCATATCTATCTATCTCTCTATCTATCTATCTCAGTCTATTCATATCTATCTATCTATCTATCTATCTATCTATCTATCTATCTCAGTTTATTCATATCTATCTATCTATCTATCTATCTATCTATCTATCTCAGTCTATTCATATCTATATCTCTATCTATCTCAGTCTATTCATATCTATCTATCTATCTATCTATCTATCTATCTATTTATCTATCTATCTATCTCAGTCTATTCATATCTATCTATCTATCTATCTATCTATCTATCTATCTATCTCATTCTGTTCATATCTATTTCATTCTGTTCATATCTATCTCAGACATTTTGTATCTATCTTAGTCTATTCATATTTATGTATATATGTATGTATATATGTATCTATCTATATCTCAATATATCTCAGTCTATATCGATCACATTTTATTGGCAGCAGTTTTAGTGCACCAAATGATTTTATTTGTATCCTTCATAGCTGTTGTCCATGTTCTTTTAACGAGAGCTTCCTTGATTTTATTAAGGAATTCATTTGTATAAATTGTTTCACTTGCTATCTCCTCATTACCACGAGATTGTGAAAATCAAGAAAGATGATTATGTGGTAAAATCTGGGAAAACATGAAACACGTTTACATTTTGAAGATAACCTTACTTTTCAAATTGCTGTACATGTTTCAGATCAAATCAGCTAATTATTAACTGAACGTAAATTTCGAGAGACAAACACCCGTACCAAATGAGGACATATTTTGCGATTATAATCGAAGACTTCTCAATGGTTTTTCATCAATATGACAAAAGTGGGATAGTTTGTTAAATACAGGATTTTCGTGTACTTGCATTTCTTACGATTTTTAGTACTAAATGGAAACACATATTCACGTGCGCTTTGTTCTCGGCTCTTAGTAAATCATCGTAGCTAAGGCAAGCACATAAATTTTCTTTTTGTTTCTTTCTTATTTTACTGAAGCAGCGATTTAATAAACATTATTTATAATAATGCTCACATTTCCTAATATTCTAATTAGCAATCAACTCTTTCAAAATGTTGAAATCTTACCCGCTGTTGTCTATTTTATTTTTATGACTTCAAATTTTGGTCTAGTTTAATAACAAATGCCTAAACACTTTGCGTAGTTCGATTCTAACTGTGCAGCACTCGAAAGCCATTGTTGTTGATTTCATCTCCTATTAGGCGTTCAGGGTTTAAAACTGAACATTAACAAATTATTGTGAATAGGTAAGTTGTTAGTCTTGGAAGCTATTTAATATGAGACTTTTCATCATTGGGTTCTTGTGAATATAGTGTTAAGCCTAATAGAATGTAGGTTCACTTTGTCGAGAAAGACAATTTTTCTCGCCAGAATTTAATTCCTCTATCTAATGCCTAAATATAATCATTAAATAAATCTACTATTTGCCTGTGCATTGAATATTGCTGTCACATCTGGTCTGGTGTTTCTACTAAGTTTTTAGTGATTTTTGATGGAATCCTTACAAAAGAATCTGCAATGTTATCAGTACTGACTTGGCATCCCGGTTTCAACTCCTTTTGATCACCTTATCGTAGCTTCCCTCTACCTTTTCTATAAATGTTTTCGTCATAATTGTTCTGAAGAATTTCCCTCTTTGGTACCCCGATTTCACGAATTTAATCGTAGTACTGGACTGGTAGTTAGGTCTCAACATTTAACAATTGAAATTGCTAATTGTAAGCGTAAGTTGTATGCAAACAGTCTCTTCTTTTGGACTTCTCGCTTGTGGAACTTTCTTTCAGTTTCTTGCTTTCCTGTTAATTATGATCTTCCAAAAATTTAAATGTAGCACCCGATCGTCACCTTCTGTCTCTTTGAATTATCTTTCTTTTACTATAGACGCTCTTCAATGTTCTCTCTGTTTTTCACTTTAAGTAAGCCCTTAAATTTTAATAGTTTTACGGCCTTGCTTAGTGTAACATGATTAAAAAAATAAGTGTTAAGCAAGTATTTTAACCCGAAGAAACGGTTAAAATAGTAGCACAAACTCTAACCAAACATTTTTCGCAATGTCTCGTCTACGGTAAGGTTCCTGAAAGCAAAGAGAGAAGGCATTCGGGTGTGAGTCAGTCAGTATACCAAGTGCAGTTTCTAAGAATTAATGAGTATTCTCGGATATCTATCAATGTTTCTCAATGTTAGTCGAACAGTTAATCTGCATTCGTTTCTAGAGAGTTATTTATCTTCCAACAGAAACAATGAGACACGCCCACCTATAAATATACGCTGTCATGAGCAAATTACTATACAAATCGCAGCAGCAAGAATGGTGTATTTTGTTATTTTTTTTGTCTTCTTTCATTCAATTTTCAAAGAATTCTAAACGCAAAAACAAGACAACGTACAAACGAAGAATATTCAACCGGGCGACCCAATCAAAAAAAAAAAAAAAAATCATTACATATTACGTTTATATTTTTCTCTCTACCAGACCTTGTTTACATGTTTTGTTTTTTTATTATCTAATAATTTAGCATTTCACTTTTTTGTTTACTCTCGAAATATTCCTTGCTATATTTTGTAATATTTTCTAACCTGTGTTTCATTATTTATATGCAGATCCATATTTTTTGTTCGAAGATATTTTTATACCTGCTTTTTTTTTTCCATCATTATTCCAACAGATATTTTCCACAAAATTCCCTGTTTCAATGACGATGTGTTTTTGTTTAGAAACCCCAAAATATGTATTTTCTGATGAAGACGAAGTGTCACACGAGAAAATTGTTAACATTTTAGCCAATTACACAATTCGAAATATACATACATACATATATAAATATATATATATATATATATATATATATATATATATATATATGTATGTATATTTTCATATATATATGTACATTAACATATATATATATATTTACATATAGATATATATATATATATATATATGTCTGTATGTATATTTACATATATATATATATATATATAAAAAAATTGTATTTAAAATTTTTAATCATTCTTACACATCCTATGTTTTGAGTGTTTGTATATATATATATATATATATATATATATATATATATATATATATATATATATATATACACACACCTTCCTTTACTACCTACCCAAGTTTTTTTTCGGTATTTTGTTCTCTCTCTCTTTTCTTTCCTCAGTCATGCCTCTTCAACAACCTAACACTATTAGCAGTTTGAAAACTTCTGTGAATTTCAAATTTACGATTCTCAGGTAAAAATTATCGTACACTAATAGTATCTCAGTTCCAGTTGTATGATTGTATTTTTCCCATGTCATATTTCAAGCATAGCCAATTTTGTATGTGTGTGTGAGTGTGTGTGTGTGTGAGTGTGTGTCTGTAGGTGTGTGTGTACATTAAATGACACAAGCACATATAACTAACTCACGTAAAATGCAGTCACATATACCGAGATGCGCATTATACAGGCGCATATGTAAAATCACACGCAGACACATGGTGCGTGACAGATCGACAATCAACGTTTCTTTTCCCGCATAATTTTATTCCCGTTTATGTATGTTTCAATGGCTTACATTTGGTGGGGAGGGATTATTTATAAATAAAAATTCATGTTGCATTTTGTTTACATAAATAAAATTTGTTTACATTGTTACGTGACAGCCTCAAAATAAGTAATGATCAATATTTTTTAAAAAGGAAAGATTTTACAACCTGCAACTTACACGATGCATTGATCATATGGACATATGTATAATTTGAAATTTTACCAAAATCGATTGGTTAACCTTTTGAAGATGCGTTGTTCTCCTCATGGAACAGATTTTAAGATATGTTTTTTGTTTTCTTTTTTTAATACCAGACGTGCTAATTGATAATTTTATTTTTTTATCGATAATATAGATCGAAAAGACTAAAATGTAATATATGCTTACAAATCGTGTTAAAATACAATTTATGACTTAGGAATTCATACTGGTTTTGATTAACTTTTGCAACCATGTCCGGCCTCTAAAAGCTTAATAGCAACTATATTGGAAAAATATTGACTTCCATAATAAAATCTGACAGTACACACACAGGCAAACACATACACACATGTTTGTATGTGTTAATACATCTGTGAGTGTGAAATACGTAGAAAAAAATAAACTATAAAGGAAGGGAAGAAAGAGAATGTGAATATTGTAATATTTTAAAATCAAAATATTTTTTTTCTTTATTTTCTTCTATTTTCGCAATTCACACAAATTTGTTTCTTTCAATCTCAATATTTTGTTTTTTTTTCTTTTTATCCTGCTGTTTAGTTATTTAAATATTTCATTCTCTGTTGATATTTTTTCCTCTCCAGCCAGATTGCCGTATATTTACACTCACCATATCGCAAATTTGTCTGTTTCCATTTTGTTTTCCCTTTTTACAGATACCATTTTTTTCTCGCAGCGAACAATTTCTACTTTTAGATTTTGGCATACAAACCCAGAAACAGATAATTTCTTTTTATCAGCTTTTATTCTTGTCATTTTTCTTTTTTTATTTCAAGTTTTTTTTTTCTTTCTTATAACCGATTTCGAATTTCTGCGTTTTCATTTTTTTCTTTCTTAGTTTCCTTCCTTCCTTTGATTCTTTTTTCGATTTTTTCATTCATTTCCTTCTTTATTGTTTTTCATGACATTTCGCCAGTTTTCCCCTTCTTTTTCTTTTTCTATATTTATGTTTTCTGTCTTTCTTTCAAGGCTTTAATTTCATTCAATTTTCTTTCTTAA